TATTTAAGTGCAGGTCATACTTACTTGTCAACCTTGCCATAACTGTCCAGAGCTGACGTCACAGACACCACACATATGACCAATGGAGAGCCTGATGATAAACAAAGAAACAAGCACACATGTTACACATTTACTCAAGATGTCACATAGTATCCGTGACTAGATTAACAATGCTAGGGCCCTGGGGATAATAAGGTGATGTGATGTCTCTTGAGGGAAGATCGTGCATGTACCCTGCTGTGTTCAAGTACCAATCAAGTACAGTGTCCACATAACATATGGCAACTTCATTACATTTACTGTATCAATTAGTTTGAGGTAATTACAGTATATCAGACTGCAGGAATGTGTATCATTTGTATATGTTTGCGCCTGTGTATACGTGCCACCATGCGCATGCACAATACAAATGAAATTGAGACCCACTCTTAAAAACATTACTCCATAGTGCTACTTGTGGTCAAAAACTCCATTAATTATGCCGTTTGTTCACTAAAATAAGCACATGTATGCAGCTTTTTTATTTTTTTTTTTCACTGGCGTGTCACATTCAATGTCACAAACTCACTGGAAAACAGGTAGAGAGCAGCATGGAGGCCAGTGAAAATGCTATGGTGATTTATTCTGGTACTTATTCAGTCTCCACTTCAAACTTGGTGTTGACTAGTTTGAAATGTTATTCGAGTGCTGCTCGGACAGACACAGACGAAATTTGTTGAGACACATCGTTGCATCACGCCAGTAAAGAGGCCAAAATTAACGCATTCACACAGGTGTCATGTTTACATCGCTGCCACTTGGATCTGGAGCTGATAAATACCCCTGACTACTGTAGAGTCATTTGTCCCGGGAATAAATTCACATTGTAACCTCTCCCAGTAAAGACAAAAAAACAGATGTTAGTGAGTGTTAGTGTTTTTTTTTGTCCAATAGGAAAAGGGCTTTAAACAAACAAAAAGTGACATACACTAAACCTAAGGCCTTTAGGCTTCTGTGGACCTTGGTCCGAGATCACATGGCTCGCAATGAAGCCTTCGTAATTACAACATCAACACAAGTTACCAGCACTTTCATATTTTTAGATCAGCATGACTGGAATCATCAGAAAAATTCAGGAATCCTCTCAAAACAACCCAGTAACCTCAGATCTAGGCCAAACAGTGATTACAGCATAATTCAAACGGTATTTTAACCTCCACGCTGTCATCCAAAAGTATGCCTCAGTTAATTTTAGCACATAGTCTTGTGGCCCCCATTAAACACTGTGACTTATTTTTTCCAACATGGAAAACTCCACCCATTGTAGCACCTGTATTTACATACGCTTTCACACCCAGTGGTGGTTTTATTTATCTGCTGAGCTACTTATTGCTAATTTCCCTGAAAATAACTCCTATTTTTTTTTAATCTTTTAGCCTTGCCAAGCCCAAAGATTCCCAGCATGCTATACTACAAGAAAATGTTTACTTTAAAGGAAGAAATGAAAGATAAAGTAGTCAGCAGCCTATATCACAGCTAATAGCAGCAGCAATTACTAACAAAGCGAGTATTTACTTTTTATGTACAACAGCTATACTTCTAACTGTCAGACAAATCTCCTGCACATAATTTGCAGTTGGCCACACAAAATGAAAAATCACTCTGGCCTGAAGAAAGGAAGTAATAAAAAAGAGATCGTTTTTCCACTAATGGGTTCAGCATGTGAAGGAGAGACTATGCATTCCCCAGCAGCCAAAGACAGTATACGTATGTCCCAGATTCTTTTTATCTGTCCATCAAACTCCAGTTCACTCAGATCAGGAGAGGCAATTGTTATGCTGGAATGTAACTCAAAGCAGATTTATTCAACAGAGTCACAGTTACTTACTTTCATAAACAATATTTGACCAGTAAGGTCACTTAGAAATGGTCAAATCATATTTAGAGTAATGGCCTGGCTTGAGGTAGAGGCAAGATATTAGGGACAATAAAATAAGGGGACATAGTGTATTGTTGAACACACAAACGACAAAATGACACACAAGGAGGAAGGCAAGTATCTTTGCTATATTCTGAGGTGAATATGCCAGATATATCATTTAGCTTTTCCAGTAAGTGTAGTAATTAAAGAGTGCTGAGCAGACCTACCCCAGCCGATGCCATAGTAGTAAAAGTGTTTGCTACCCTCAGAGCCGAACACTTTGACCACCATACTGTAGAGATGGAGGCCCTCCACCAGCATCCAGGCGAAGGCACTCAGAAAGAAGAAATGAAGAAGGACGGCCATGATTTTACAAGGCAGCTGAGACAGGAGACACAAACAGGCTTTTATCATCAAACATTTTCTTTTTCATTATTATTTATGTATGCATTATTATTAAAAGGCATTTTGGTTGTTTTTTTTTAAAAGAGGAATGATTTGTGGCTCTTTTTTTGAATAACATACTTTTTAATCTTCTAAGTAAAGTCGCAAGTGATTTGGTGTTCAAGTCCAAGTCAAGCTGCAAGTCTTTTTTTGATTTTGTCAAGTCTAAAGTCATCAAATTTGTGACATGAGTTTGAGTCAAGTCCAAGTAAAGTAACTCGAGTCCACATCTCTGGTTCATACATCATTTTACAAACAGCTTTCTTATTATTTATTCTAATACTTTTAAGTATATTAGAATATTAAACAAAAGGCACTACTCTTATCATCATCATCCTTATCATTTTAGTAATCATCATTAATTTGATTGTGCTTATTATCATCACAACTTTTCTTCATTGTTTTCAACATCATCATTATAATCATCAACAACATAATCTGTAGTGTAGTGTACCCACCGTTCCAGGCTCGAAGCGAGCGCTGATAAGCAGTAGGATCTCAGCCACCAGGATAGCAAAGGACAGGTTGGCGTGGATGTGGTAGCGTTGGTTACGGATGGTACTCACTGACCTGCAGAGCAGCAGGACAACATCACATTAACCTGCTATTGTTTAGTACTATGCTAATAAGAACTCTTTGTATATAAAACATAAACGCTCAATGTTTTGGACACAGATGTACAGCACAGGTTGTTGAAGAAATGATACTTACGACAGAACTGCAAAAGTGACCAGAGTGATGGCAAGACAGACGATGGAGACAGAGCAGCCAACATAACCAATGGTTGATAGTGCCACCTTGTGGCCAGTTGTGAGCTGTGTACAGAGACACATAACCATCAACAACAGACAAGACAACATGTAAAAACATTATTATTTTGCCTACACGGTGGCACATTGTGCCACGTATGCACAGGCAGAGCTAGTTTAGCCTCTTTCATTAGCCTGTATCATTAGCCAGGAAATTCAAAGGGACCCCATGGAGTTTATGATGATGAACACAGTAATGACTCTCATTAGTGTTTTATCAGGCAGGCTACTCTCCAAGACTGGGCATACTGTCATAAAGCTTTAGCAAAAGGGTTTAAATCCTCCTGGTTAATGGAGGAAACACAGACGCTGGAATCAAAACATTTCAAGATGAAAATTATTCACACATTATGTTTTTGTATGTATTCACACAACATGTTTTTAACATGTTTTAACAGTTTTCAAGGTGAAGTTTTTCTCCTGTATGAAGTCACTGTGGAAGTCAAATACCTACTTATTATGATTTTGGGATAAGCAGATTGCACATTGTCCAAGCAGCTTTACAGTGACAGAGATAACAGTCTCTCCTTCTGCATATATCCATAGCATATAGTACATTGGTGTTGTTTTGGAGTTCAGACTATTTTGAGGGTTTGGGTTTGATTCTCCATTAACTGTCTTCACATGTGCCTTGTCATTACGAGAGCAGAGGAGTCACAGCCTTCCAGAAAAGGGATATGTGGGATGTTCCCTCGCAGCTGAGGGACGAGGCAGCCCACTAATTAGAGACTGGCCGAGGGAAAGTATAGCATCAAATAGACTGCTGCTGCTCCTTAAATACACCGCTGGCCCACTTAGCTGCAGTAAGAAGTCCTCTTTTCTATTTAAAGAAGCCATCGTGGATGTTGACCATACTCCCATGGCACATATTCTTGGATAACAAAGAGTTAGACTGTGGTGACGATGTACACAGGTTTGACATTCCAAATTGCGCTACATAAAGATATTGTAAATATAAAATAATGTGCAGGACGGTGTTCAAAGGAGAGAGGGCACTTATCCCAGATGTTTCTTAGGGACAGATTTTGGAGAATGGTTCAAAGGGACAGTTTTTAGTCTCTTGAGAGAGTGTGGTTCATGAGGAATGACCTGCGCAGCGACCCAAAAATACCACACTTAATCATGGTTGTTTGAAGTACTTTCGTATAAAACCACCAGTGAAACCGACATTGTGATTGTGTAGGTCTGCTTAAAATTGACCTACGGGGAAGAACGATAAACTGTCCAAAGGCTGAACTGGGGGCTTCTGGTTGGAGGTTTACTTTGTGGTAAACCACTGCTTTCCTGTCCAATTATGTTCCTACAAATGTACTTACTTTGTGACAAAGACACAGAGGGAGGGACACACTTTTGAACATGGCTGGGCTAAAGGGATAAACCTTCCTCTAAATAGCAGTGGAAGCTTCACTGTTTCCCAACAACAGATTAAATAAAACAGCACTGTGGTGAAAATCATCAACAGGTTTTTTTCACAGCAGACACTTGGACTTGAAGTAGCAGTAAAAGCACAGGTGGTACTAAAACATTAAAGCTACAGTTGGTAACTTTTATGAAAATAACTTTGTGTCATATTTGCTAAAACTGTCATATTTTGAAAGTAGTCTGTGAAAAAAAAAATCATGTCCCTCCTCCTCTTTCGACTGCCTCTAATGGAATTCACTAGAATCAGTCGCAGCACATTAACGAGCCATGATTGACATGATTGACAGCTGCTTAAGAGGCTCCTCAGCTCTGACTGGTTGTTTGCAAATAGAAGCACAACGAGGCAATACAGTGACAGATTATATGTTTCATTTAATGTTGTGTGAATATGGTGACAGTTTAAGCAAATATGAATAAAGTTATTCATAATGAAAGTTACCAACTACAGCTTTAATAATGACAGTGTGGGCTTGAGTTAGCAGGTGAAATACCAGGTCCATGGATGCATTGTAAGAACTGGTTAACATACTCAAAGATGGCATCCATTCACTAAATGAAAAATGAAAATTCCTTGCTGAGTGCATAAGACAAGTAAGTTTCCTGGCCTCCAGGTTTGCCTCTGCATTGTGCAGCCCCACTGCACATGCTTCTCCCACCAGCCCCACCTGCATGTTCCTGCACTGCCCATAGATTTTATATTGGGATGACTTCATGCATGTAAATCACGCCTCTCAAGGGTGTGGAAAAGTTTTACAAATATAAAAATTCATAATGAACAGAACAATAATTGACCTTGTTTCATGGTGTCCTGCCAATAGGTTTTACAGACATCTCTTTTATAATGGTCTATGGGAAAATGCTTTTTGGGCCACTGGGACACAGCAGGGCTCAGAGGTGGCACCATATCCAGCTGAGTTAGAGTTTTGCACTTCCGGTTCCCTCGTCTCAAAGTCAATGGGTTTCTTGAATGGGTTTTTGGTTTGATGCCTGAAATAAGGTCTGTGGTTAACAAAAGCTTAATAGAGTATAATATATATCAGTAAATACCCCACTTGTGAACTTTGAAGCCCTTACGTGTCTTAAAAATGGCGGTTGCTGACAAGTAGCTAACTGAGACTACAGGATGTCATCATGCTGAAAACGGCTTTACAGCCTTGCTGTGGTGTCGATGCTGAGGTCATGTGACTGTGGTGTAATTCGTTTATAGCCTAACGTTAGCTTTAAACTACTGCCGATTGCATTTCACTTTAAAAATCATGGAGGTGGTGTTCATTTGTGGAGATTATCTTGCTGAACAAAATGTGTAAGTTTTACAACCGTTTGTTTGCCACAGAGCTTATTTTCTGCAATAATCCAAAATCCAATGGAAAAATTCCTTGACTATTTGTCAAGGAAACCAGGGTGACGCTAACTTCTGGGCTGGGCCACATATAATCATCATCCCTGCAGCACTCTGTGGAATGTGACATGTCAAACTGTCTTCTGTGTAAAAGATTGATGTTAAACCTACAAAAACGTATTTTTTGGCCACTTTTTGGCAGTACGACAAGCTGAGAACACAATGTTAACCAACTGTATTGTCACCTCATAAATGTGACATGGCTAACATGTTTCAGAACTGTTGCCTGTTACACATCTGACAAATAAGGAGCAAAAATAAGCATTTATTTTGAGCAGTGTTGTTAGGGCTCAGCAAAGTTAAGTCCATTATCCACTCTCCTGTTAACTCTGTTTAAGTCTCCACCAACTCAGCTCCTGAGGAAACATTAGTCTCTTTAGCTGCTTAATGCTCCACTTTATTACTAACTTTGCCTATCTGCCCTTCGGTGTTTGGCAAGTGGCGTACAGTCAGTCTATCAGAGCTTTTTCCACTGAAAACACCTGCCTGCTGAAATGATCAATAATTAATTTAAAAAAATGAGAGCAGCTTTAAAGAGCAGCTAAATGTCATACCTTCAAGGGCACCACTTGCATTAGTATGGCGAAGTTGGTAAGGTGGTTGCACAAACACACAGAGTATGTCATGTTTCCATCTGAGCGTACACAGCCTTCATTGGACCATACTCCCTCATTTGAACTGAAAAGGACACAAATCAGATATTATTTAAAGAGAAAATACACTCAGAGATAGATTAATGTAAAGACGCTTGCATGAAGAACAAACATACAGAAAAAAACAGAGCATGTTTTTATAGAACACGGCTGGCAAGGATCACTCAACATGATCCATTGAGGGAGGCACAGAGAGTGTGCTGAATTTACCGGGGCAATGTGACAGAACAATCCAATAATTCACATTTTTCTTGAGCTTCAGGGTAAAGGGGAGTAAGGAGAGGAAGCCCTTGAATTCCAACTAAAACACACTCCCTTTTAAAATGATTTATGTTTTCTAAATAGTGTTTTGGCTCCATTTATCAGATCAGATCACTGTATTTTTTTACAGAGGGCTGTTGCTCAAGATACACTAAACCGAAACAGCAACACATGTAACACACTGCCTGTTTTTGATTTGACTAAGACATGGGAAATACACCTTTTCCAAATCATTGGTCATGTCTTATGATTTAAAGCCTTGAAGACTTAAGCAAGGACTATGAAAGGAGTCAACAATCAAGATTCAAATCTCTTTGGCTCTATATCTGAATGAATAATTGAGACATGCTGCATCGTAAATCACAAACACAGACCCACCTGTAGTCCAAGAAGCCACAGTAGAGGAAGACTTTATTGCTCTGATTTAGGACTTGTTCTTGCTGCTCTTTAGTCTGAAAAAGGAAAGGCAAATAAAATTGAGATCTTTAATTGTAAGAGAACAGTACTTAATACAGGAAAAGATTTGCTTTTGGATTTTGTTGGCGCATTAAATTACAAGCATAACTCAGAGCAACCTGTTCGGAAAATGTGCTTTGATCAAGAGGACATTGTGGAATATTTTAGGCTCAAATCAGCAGCATTCTTTCCTTCATGCTCTTTGGCTTTTTTTCCATCCATATGCTCAACACAGGCAACAGATCTTGACTATTAGACTCATTAAAGGGACAGTTCAACCCAAAATCAAAAGTACATATTTTCACTCTTACCTTTTAATGCTGTTTACACATCTAGATGGTTTCGGTTGGAGTTGCTGACTGTTGGAGATACTGGCTGTAGAAAAACCTGCCTTCTGTTCAGTATAATGAAACTAGATGGCACTCTGCTTTTGGCATTCAAATTTCCAGAAATCATGACCCAGTTACTCAAGATAATCCACAGACCTTGTTGTGAGCAGTTTCATGTGGGAACTATTTTCTCTCTTCCACCTGCTAATTGTATCATGGCGCAAAAGTAAGTGTGCATCTACTCATGGACGAGAGACTTGTGTTTGTGACAGTGCAAGATGTAGACATTAAAGGCGTCTTTCATTAGCATTAGCTAGCTCAGCCGTGCTAGGTGAGATAGCAGTAGCTGCATGCTTTCTTTTGCACAGTGATATGGTTGGCAGGTGTAGTTCGGTAGAAAGGAAATAGTTCCTACATGGAATTCCTCACAGTAAGGTCTGTGAATTATTGTGAGTAGCCAGGTCGTGATTTCTGAAAAGAGACATTGGTGTTGAGTTTTTTTTTACAAATTTAGTGCCATTTAGTTTCATTATATTGAAGTACAAGAGAGAAGGCAGGCATCTTTACGGCCGATATCTCGGCAAGAGGTAAGAGGAAAAATGTGTTTTCTATATTGGTGTGAACTGTCCCTTTAAGGCTAAAAAATAAGACATATTTTGCTTTTGTATCTATAAAATAAAAATGCTTTGTTGGTGCTTTAATGCAAGTAGAGGAAGACTCCATCTAAATAATGCTGAGATCATACTAAAGGAAAGACAAGACGCAGATCGACACTCAGCAAAAGTGATTATTACACTGAGCGAAAATCCCTACTGTCTTCAAGAATCTTATTTGATTATAACTCACTTTTTCCGTGTCATTCCTTAATATGAGATTTGGAGTCCCCGGAGACAGTGAGCTAATGGCTACAGTGCAAGAATGCAGTAATTGGGGCTTGGCCCTGGTTTCAGGTCAAACCACTACCCTCCTCAATCTGTCATCTGAAGAAAACAACACTTTCGTTGGCTGGTTGGGTGTATACGCAGAGACTGCACACCTCTTCTTGCTCCCCGAGCTTTGACTCTCAGACTGAATAAGTGTATGATTAGATGGACTGTGTCTGCACTATTTCCTTCTGGAAAAACTGAGAGAGAGAGTGAAACTGACACTCAGGCTGTCTGTTTCCTGGCCCATAGGCTCAGTGATTCATATTACAAAGCATAGCACAATACGTTCACTTCATTGTGTAACCAAATCGTTGCTCTCATTCTGTCTGTTTTGTGCATGCAGCTCTTTAGTCATCATGTATTGTGACCCTCGAGTTGAATGCGATAGATGTTATATTCATGTGGCCCATTGGAACAGACAGTATGATGGGTCCAAGAGCCATGAGAGTGTCGTAAATGCACCCTGTCACTGCGCGCCGACGGCCAGCTCTGAGGAGCTGCAAGCAACCCCGTGGGTGAATTTACTGCTCCCCTGTGGGCTTTAATAACTCACATTGCTTGTTGGGTGTAAATGAAAGCAGATGGAAGAAAGACAAACTGTAATTGACACACTGTAAGCCTTGCTTTACATGCCTTCTACCATCGCTGAACCTTTAATGTTCCTGTGCAATGAAGGAAGACTAATTATCCACATTAAGCACAAAATGTAAACCCCAGCTCTTGGGAAACAATCCATCATAACCAAACCATGATATGTACCAGACACAATTTAAAATATACATTGACTAACAGACCATCAAACATATAAAGAGGGCTGTTTGGCCATGCTTCCTCTCTAGCAACTGTCTGTTGGGGCATCCAGAGTATCTTTTCCAGTTGATGTCTGAGGAGAGGTGCAGGAATCTAAAAGTCACTGGTGAGTGTTAAAACGCACTCGGAGATCTGGCCGGGCTTTGCGCGCACACCGTCGTCGTTCCCTCATTGCCCGAGGCCTCAGCCACCAGCCAAGACTGGAGCTGGAGCTCCAACTCTTTATTAACAACAGAAGGCCAGCAAACACCGCCTTGGAAATCACTTTGAGCCTCGTAAGGAGAACAGACATAGGGAGGAAGAGAGGAAGAGGAGGGTGAAAGCTAGTGACAGCAGAGTGATACAGAGCGACAGGCTGATAGAAGAGAAAGAGGAGAAGGGACAGAGAGAGGGGGGAGCTGATAAATCATAGATAGTCAAGGTGTTTCTGGTGCTTCTGTGTAACTATGTCCGACTTTGTGTAGCTGTCAGCTCCATCTTTGGTACTTACTTTACTCACCCTCCATAGTAGTGAAATACAATAATGTCTAAAATCCTTCATCATCATTCACCAGCAAATATTAGCGGAGCAAAAAGTATTTAAATCCTTTATAATGATATAAATAATATAATGAGTTTGTTTTCTTTAGTGTATAATCACCTGAAAATAAGAATCTTTTTTTTTTTGAGCCAATATTCACCTTGACATGCCACTAAATCCCCCTAAATCTTACACACTGTTCCTTTAGTACAACCATGTGAAAATACTGCATTACAAATAAAGGTCCTGCATTTAGAATCCAACTAAAAGGATCTGTATACAACATTAAGGGCATATGTATGATTCAGAGGAGTGAGACTATCTGCACACGGTTCTCAACCGGAGGTGGCTAAGCAGGTGGCTGGCAGCTAACAGTGCTAACTCCATAAATAGTGCTAACAACAGCAACAGTGCTGACCGAGGTGACTTTTATTAACCTGGATGGAAACTTAAGGTTGAGCATTATTCCGTCCCCACATCAGCAGCAATTGCTTGTACAAGCACAGTGCTAGCCAGTGGGATAGACACACAGGGACTCACATGGTTGTGTCTAGCATTAACCCCAGATTTGCAAGAACTCCAGTGAGATTTTATGTTCCATGTCTCAAATTATGATTTTAACCTGAACCATTATCATTCCCTTACTCTAACTAAGTGCTTCCTGTGCCTAAACCTAACCAAACCTTAAGCACTGCGTCAACCCATAAAACAGTGAGCCAAGAATATTTTGCAGCGGCTCACGAGAGTTTTGCAAAACTAAGGTTACCATCTAGCCACCACTGACTCACATGCAACAACAGGCACATGTGGCCAGACATCTTCCCAACAGCGGACAGAGAAGCTTGATAACAACACAAACAGAGGTAGCGTGACTTCTTTCTCTGCTCAGGATGCCATTACTCCACTATAGTTTTACATAGCAAACAGTGGTTTGTTGCTAAATAACTGCTCTGAATGTGGCAAACCGTTCTTTTGAGAAAAAGTGCACAAGTATTATTATGAAATTGTATTTAAAGTATCAAAGTAAATCATCACTCATTCTGCCCAAAAATGGCCCCCGTGACTGATGTAGTAACTTATAAGACATTATCAGAATGTTAATAGTGAGGCATTATTTCACTGTTGTAGCTGTTTTATACTGTATACAGGGAGTTCAGTCCAGTGGCCAGGAGTCAGCCCTCCTCCGGAGGTTCTTCGATAATTAATGTGGGAAGAAAGAAGAAAACATAAAGTTCATAAAGTTTTTACTTTTCCCTAATATTTGCTTTTTGTGAAATATTGGATAATTTTGCCTTTGGGGGGTATTCAGACAGTTTTTAAATGGAACTGCTAACAACTCATAGACATCTGAAACATGACAAGAGGCCTAAACTAAACACTAATTCGTCACAAGCCAAAAAGGTCTGGAACCACTGGTTTAGTAGTAAAGTAAATGTTGCAGTGTCATTTCGTTTCCACCTGAAATGTAGTATAGTAGACGTAGAGAGTAACGTAAAATACTTAAGTAAAATACAAGTATTTCCAAATTGTACTTAAGTATGATTCAATAAATGCACTAAATTACTTTCTCTGGCATATTTATGTCTGGTGTTATTAACTAGGATTTCATTTGAAACTGCTGTAGGGGGGTATAGGGACTGTAAATCATAAAGCTACTCCTTTGGAGGGAAAAACACTCTTAGCTGTTGTGTCGTCATGACAACATATGTGTAATATGTGTTTTAAACAATAGATATTTAATGGTGCATTGCTAATGGCAACACACCCCTACTCTCCATTTACTTCACCACACCAATCAGTTGTCTTTGGGAGCAAAAGGCTTTAACATCAGCATGAGAGTCACTGTCTGATGTGTTTATCCCTCTAACCTAAAGCACGCCTTGTCTTTCTTTGCTGCTTTATGACTGCACTGAGCCTACTGGATAAAACGATGAGGGATGAAAATAAACACTCTCATGCATCACAAGAGCATATAAGTCGCAGATGACACGCAGAACCCAGCAATTTGTATAAATGCGAGCTTCTCTGTCCTCTGTGGTGTCTCTCAGACCTCCATGACTGGCAGAGCTGGAAGCCGGAGCCTCGCTGTGGTTGAGCTAGCTTCAGCAAACGGCGGCACCATATGTCTCTGCAAATCCCGAGACATCGGGCAACTCTGTGATAATTTAAATCTCAGCTTTTGACAGCTGGTTCTCAAGCAAGGCGCAAATAAAGAAAAGATGGAGAAAGCTACACACCAACAGGCATCCTTGTTTTAACAGCCGATTTCAAACAAACACAGCAGTGCTGGCAGAAATATATTACATTTACTTGGCTGATATTGATAAAAGCGACTTAGAATGAGTGCATCAGTTTTATCCAATATACTGATGTACTTCTAGTGCCACATTTGAAGACAGTAAGTGATAGTA